ACCCTCACTTGTGCTCAGGAGAGCTCTTTTAAAAAAGAAGGAGGAAAAGTGGTTAGCCGCACAGATTCTGGTGCTACATAGCTTTTCCGGCATTAGTTGTGTCAATTTTGTCTGTTTACTTTATATTCCTTTAAGTCTCTTCATTTATAAAAGGGGGATAACAACTTAAGAGATTTCACAGCATTGTGGGAAGGATTAAGTGATTTATTGGTAATGTGTGAAAAGAGTACCAAACCAGTCCATAAAAGTTGATTCTCAATACTGCAAAAGGTAGACACCAATTGTCCTCCTTCCGATTAGCTGTGCTCTTCTTTTTGTCCATAAAATAAACCTTCATCAATGCCAAGGCCTAATGAAATAAGCAAGGAATTCCTCAGGGAGGGAGCAGCAGCATCACGACATTCCATCCCAAATAACATGGAGCATTTCTGAGGATTTCTGCTGGCAAGCGCTGACTACACAATATGCAACCCATGACATAATTTGCTCAAAACGGTCCTAGATAGATTCATCTAGAAACAAATCCTAAGCCAAGGATGTGTATACAAGTGATTTACTGGCATGATCCTAGGAAGCACTGGTAAGGGACCAGGTAAGGCAGGACAGAGAGCCTGGAAAGACTATAATATGGGGCTGGTTTTTACTGTATACGATAGGGTCTTAATACTAGGTGGAACTTTGGGTCAGAATGAAAATCGTGTTTCAGTTGTCCCAACTGAAGAATGAACAAGTAGTGGTGTTCATCCACCAAAAACTATCTGTTACCAGTTGAGTTTTGCTGGGGGATGTGGGTGCAGAGCTTTAACTCCGACACTCACAGCTAGAGAGAGCTCCGAGACAGTCTCAGGTGAGCAGAGTTGGCAGCTGTTAGAGTGCAGGGAATGCTGGGAAAAGAGAGAATGGGCGAGGTTCCAAGAGTGTCTCCTATACCAAGGAAACTGAAGCTTTCAGTAAAAATCAGGTATATGGAAGCATTAAAATAAATGTTTTCAGTTAGGTCTCTTAAATGGAGAATTCCTGATTTTGTAATACAATTTAAAACTCTAAGGGGGAAAACTTCTGGTAACTTAAAACTTGTGATGTTGGGGCAAGCAGGCAGTAGTTAAGGTGTTGTATCCCACATGGCTCACTGCAATTTGAGTCCTATACTCAGCAGCTTGAAAATCGTGCCAGGTATATGTGAATGCACGCCCCCAATCCAGAGAGGAGAATGGAGGAGAAGGCCATCCCCTCTGGGAGCATGGCCATCCCCTCTGGGGAAGGGGGGGCTTGATTTCTCACATTCTCTCTCTCTCTCTCGTTCCCTGGCAAGTGCATGCACCCTATGACAAAACCCTAAGAGCAAACAAACAAAGCTTGTGATGCTAAAAATTTCTATGTTCATGTTTTTGTATGTGATTCTTTAAAGCAAGATTGAATTATTTAACATAGTCATTATACTTAGGCACATTTATGAATACTTGTTATTTGCTTAAAAATAAAGTATAAGTTATCCCTAATAGTGCTAAAAAAATCATAACTCTTTCAAAATTATGGCACATATATATGTGTGTGTATCTATTTCTATATATATTTAATATTTTTCTAGGTAAATCATCACAATGAATTGATTAGCAATGCTACAATTAACTATGAAATAAGAATAAATGTTACTTCTGCGTATGCTTCTCATTCCTCTCAAGTAATGCCTTAGCTATTGATAGTGCATTAGCCATTCCGTGCAGACTTCCTCTGTAAATAAGTGTTTATCTGCATGGCCCCTGTCAAAATGATTAGGTGGCTTCCCAATTTAATACATCTATTGATACCATATGTCCTATTTTAGTCATATTTTGTTCAGAAAGTAATTAACTTACTACACAATATTTGTGTTGTATTGCGCTTTCAAGAAATATGTATGTTAAAACCACAGCAATACTTACTATAGTTCTGTAATTTGATTCATGCAAATCTGTCAGGAATAAAATGAACCACAATTTAATTTCAAACCTTCCCCACTAGCAGCTGTACAATTTATGCACTGCTTTTCTATTTTTACTACCGGATAATGACAATGATGAATGCCTTTAAGAGGAAATACATATTCATTGAAAAGACTCAGCTCAAAAAAACTATCCCCCTTCAAAAAGCCCGTGGAGGTAGGAAGCCCATTTCCCTGCTGAAGGAGATGTGTTGGGAGACGGATGGAATGAGGCCCACAACCCCCTTGAGAATTCAATAATCCAGCTAAATCAAACCTGCAATAATACCTTTCACAAGCCACAGTAATCAATACTATTACAATTGGTGTCAGTTACAATAATATTAAATCTATTGGGATGAATAAATGATTAGCTCTGAGTATAGTCAGGGGTCTACATTCTGCCCATGCTAGGGTTGAAAGGGATGGAAACAAAGGCTTTCAATGGGCAACTTAATAAGTTCAGGGTCACCGCTCTCTGACCCGTATGTTCATGAACATGCAAAGGAAGGAATATTAGCTCATTAGCAGTGATTTACATGTTGAATAACAATGACGAACTCACAAAGTGTGCTGTCACAAGAAATTAGTTCATGTGAATAATGACGAGAAGGCTTGCATGTCTCCTTTCTCAATTGATTGCATTTCATTTCCTCACTGTACCCATAAGTCATTTGACTTTTACTTCAAAGGGAAGAAGAAATAGCACCATACTGAAATAGATAAACTGTTTCCAGAGATCCATGTCACTCTTCTTTTATTTTAGTGTGTAATTCTATAGCTTATTTGATATGATGTAAGATATTAGAGTTAACTCACTCAAAAAATTGCAGCACCAATTTCCAAAACAAACAAATAGCTTTGTCTATTTATATACTATACAGATAAATGTGTGTTTTGAAATGAGCTCCCAAGAAATCACTTAGAGTATAAAATACTTTAGCTAATACGTGCTGCTGATAGCAAACTCATCTTCTGTCTATAATCTTATGCTGTTTGCATTAGAAAATACCAAGCTCTGGCTATACTCTAATATTTCATTTTAAGTGTGAAATGGATGATCACAAAAATTATCTTGAGACACACATTATTATGTACATTTTCTTGGTGTTACGTTTATTTATCTTCAGACACTGACTGCTAAAATTCATAGCCTATTCCCTCATGGTGACTTGTCTTAGCTCAGAATTCAGTAATGTGTGGTTATTTTTTTTTTTTAAAGCTGGATTTGGTTTGGTGGCCTTTGGTTGGTATTTTTTTTTTTTTGGTCTCCCCTTAGGTTTTTGACATGGGGTGCATGCATTTGCCAAAGAGAGACAGAGACAATGAGAGGGAGAGTGAGAAATCACCCCATGGGGGTGGGGAGATGGCTACACTGCAATCCCTTTTCCTCTGTCCTCCTCCTGGGATTTTGGGCATACATGCACATGTGCCCAGTGTGATTTTCAA